TCGTTATACTTATATTGATAATTCGAATCGAAATATAAATTATCAATCGACGGACAATAACTTGTATTGCAGCCTAATTGATCATGTAAGGTATGAGCTAAAGCTAGAACACTATCTATGACAGGCGCTGAAATAGGATTAACAGTGTAAAATGAATGTGCAAAATTTTGTTTGACGTGATAATCAATCTTACAGCTCGTCTTGTTAGCTTGATCTCTACGATTTCTTAAAGATTGTAAATGTTGGCGTATAGCACGTACAAACCAAGGATTTTTTACATTATTACATAAATCAAGATGATTTAAGTATTGATCAAAATTGTTTATTCTTTTCATATTTGGACCAGCACCTAATACTCCATCAATTACGCTAGAATTGATATTTTTAATTCTTGAAGAAAGCATCCAACTGTAAGAACCAATCCATGTTTTACCCTCTAAATTTTGATTTTCAGCTTCCTTTAAAAATCTGAATACAATATTTTCATCTCCTAATAAAGCGATAACATTTGTCCGTTGCTGATTTCTTATTGCTGTAATGACACTTCTAAAATCCGAGGTAGTATTTTTATCATAGAGGATTGCCTTATATGCTATACAAATACCATGTTGTCGTAACTGTAAATCAAATTTTACGACGGCTGAATCTAAATTATTTGATATTGCAAGAACAATACATATCCAATTCCATTTCATTCGGGTTAGAACGTCGATTATGATTTTCGTTTGGACATCTGGAGATGGAGAAGTACGATAGAAATAGGGGAAGAATTTACGATTATTCAATGCAGGATTAAAAGAATTATAACCAATCTGAATAATACGTAGACTACTAGTGTAAGAAGCCAATGATGTCGTGATATGTTCAGATTTTTCTGCAAGAACACCCAAAATATGGGAATGATCAGTGTTGCTACGATTTAATACCTGTGACCCGCTAGAATAAAGATCGTGAGTATTTGTAGACGATCCAGAGCAATTATACTGATCGTAATTTTGTTGTTTAGGCAATAATATTAATTTTGTTGATAGCGAAGACATAGCCAGTTGTGGCGAAGAACAAGAATCGATTATTGTTAATCCAAGTTTTATACCAGGTAGTAAATTTGAATTGTTATTGACTAGCATTTCGATAGCATAGATACTGGCTTGTGTTAGTTGTATATTAAGCATACTATAATTAGAGCATTTCTTAAATGAATAGTTATAATTTAGTGAATTAGGAAAGATTCCAATAATTTGAAAATTAGCTTTTTCCGAAGCATTATTAATAGATTGATTAGAAAAGATCAAGTAGCAAGATATCAGTATAATAAAAGGAGTTTTGGCAAATTTTTTCATGGCTATGTTTACACAAAGATAAGATAAAGCAAATGTAATTTTTCGGTCATCATAATGTATGTTTAGCATACATACTTAATAGGTAAAGATTTGCTTTTTGACAATTCTGCCAACACAAGGAGAACATTTGTAATGCAAAAGCCGGCATTAAAGTAAGGGAATCTTTCAGACTTTAATTGATATCATACTATAATCTAAAAATGTTGTGCTTTTTAGTATGTAAGGCTTATTTATAAGTACTGTGCCCGTTCTTATTATCTCAAGTAAAATCATCGTATAAGTAAAAAGAATTTAATTATTAAAGATTTGAGCATATGGCACATTATTGCAAAAATAATAATCCTAATTCCTGATACTTTGAGTTAGGGCGTGGCAAATTAATGTATTTTTCTGGCTTTTGTTAAGATTTTTAAAGAATACAGTATTGATTTTTCTATAATACTTTTCTATAATTAATTTTCTATAATAACATAACTGTAAAGTAGACGCCATACATTATCAATACTAGGTTACCGATATATCTGACGTCAATTCTATCTTATTATTAGCATTGATAATTTTAGTAACTAAAATTGGACGGTAGACTAGCAAGGCGATAATAGTGGATTGGCTTAAAGCTGTAACCAGAATAATAAGCAGAACCTGATTTCCATTTTTAGAAATTTTGAATATGATCGACTATGACTTATAGACTTTTTAGATACTATAGCTATTCGATTAGCTCTACGTATAATAGTCAGCAGCTGGCCTATTTCGCTTAATGTAACAAGTACTGCCTGTGCTACACAAATAGCACTAGTGCATGGAACGATACAAAGCAAAGAAGCAGGAAGACTGAGTAAATTAAAAAATTGAAACATATTTAATAAAATAAAATTCGATGCTTTAATAATAGGAGCTTTCCGATATATTGTGATGGTCGTATAAATAAATATCCAGTACATTAGTTATAATATTATACATAAATAAAATATTACTGCAAAGGACCTGCTCGATTTGAGCTATCTGTATATCGATGCATTTGGTACGATTTTGATTTGCCTCAGTAAAATTAGAACACTTTATATAACTGTCTTGCTTTATGGACCTAATATTGTCTGACCATTATATTTTTTACATCTTTAATAACATTGCCAATATGAAAAAATGATTCCTAGATTGTTTGTAATAGCGTATTCAGGTTGGCAGTCATCAAAACAACGCGACAGCGGTATATTATTTCATTTTTTGCCACTATTCCAAACTATTTTGTCATAGCAAATAGAAAGACCACTCTTCTCTTTCCAACTACCAATTTAAGTTTTCATTACAATATTGATAGTAGTATTTTTAAAAGGTTTAAGATTTATAATTTGATACGGTAGCTGACTACTTCCGTCAAATCGAAAACGGAACTGATAAGTGGTTGCACCTTGGAATGAAACATTGCGTAGAACTTTTACAAGTTCAGCATGATTATTGGCGATTAAGTTCGATGGAATGGGTGGGCAGTAACTGTGATTACAACCTAGATAATCATAAAGAGCGTAAGCAAGCGCCAATACTGAATTCATGACAAATTCAGTAATCTAGTTTGTCTCGTAAAAATCACGAAACAATGTCCCTTTTAAACGACGATTGAGAGACAAGGCACGTGTAGTTTATCTATTGGTATTTGTCCTGATAAAGAAATTTTTTCATGCCAAGCTTTGACGAATTAAAGATTATCAAAATTATTACATAAATCAAGACTTTTTAATTCATATATTTTTGTAAAGATCGGTGGCTGATATCAATGCCTAAAGTGCCTGCAACAACATCTCCGCTAATGTTTCTTAAGCGCGATGATTTAAGCCAAGAATAAACTCCTATAAAGGTTTTACCTTTTAAATTTTGGGTTTGAGCTGCTTCCAAGAACTTATAAACTGCTGTTTCATCTCTAACAAGGATAATAACGTCAGATCGTTGCTGCTTTTTCAGTATTGCAATTTTTCTGAATAAAGCAGATTTAGTATCATTAGGATGTATAGCTATTCTTACCGATATGCATACGTTGCGTTTTCGGATAGTTGAAGTTAGCATTTTGTGTATATTCATGAAAGCATCCGAGTTTCCTGTCACTCTTGAAGCCCAATTCCAATTGAAATAAGCCACGATATCAGCAATTGCCTGTATTTGAAGCTCTAATGGTGATGCAATTCTAAAAATGTACGGATATATTCTACGATCGTTGAGTAAAGTACTATCTGAGTTATAACTTACTAGCGGTAAGTATAAGCTACTTGTATATGATGTAATAGCTGTTGTAATACTTTCTGTTTAGTCTGCTACTACGCCGATAGTAGGAACATGGCCAATTGACGATGAATGATTAGAAACTAGTGTATTATTGCTAAGAAGTTGTTGAAAATTTAAAGAATTAAATATGGCCACATTTGAAGTTAGGAAAGCCACTGCTGCATGTCTTGATGAATAGGAATCTAATATTTTATAGTTAACTTTAATTCCAGGTAATAACTTTGAATCATTGTTGATGAGATGATCAACAGTATAGATCATTATTTGGATTATTTGTATATATTTTTGGCTATATCCAGAGCAGGTATAAGTTTTAGGATTAAATTGTCGTGTATTAGGGAATATTCCTGGTATTCTGACAGTGCTATACTTACCGGAATGTAATTGTCCAACATTCGGATAGGGAAATGTTACATCTGATGTAGCAATGTTGATGAATATAGTAAATATCGTTGCGGACCTAATGAAGCGATATATCAATACAGACAGAAATATAAACGGCATTTTTCTGATTTTAGGCTCAACTTTTTACTCTAGAATTGAATATTTTAGTAATCTATATTAAAGACGTTAGTCGATTTTCGGAGATCTTGCGTTCAAGATTGCTCTAGGATTGGGCAAAAATGTTTGCGATAATTTTATTCCACATCTAAAATACTCTAGTCTTGAAGGAAGCAATGTAATTTAGTAGTATCGTCAATAATAGATTCAATTAATGTTTACTTAGTGTTTATAGTAACGTAGTCACTAGATTTAATATTAATGAGTATCAAATATGTTGTGGCTAGTATTCATAATTTTGCACTTAAGTATAATGGCCGGATACTGAGCGGCCAGGTACATAATACGTATTTATGGTGCTTCATGTAATGAATGTTAGTTTCAGAATTCTACTTCAAAATTTTATAATGTATGTAATGAAATGAAAAGTGTAGAGGTCAAGCTACAAAACTTTAACAAACTTTGATTCTACTTTCGTTGCACTCCGGTCGACTTAACGAAATTTTGAAGCCAAATAAAATTTGGGGAAATAATCGAACAACAATTTATTACAAAACAAAAATGAAGAGAAGTATAAACCAAAAAACCTTACAAATACTTAGCTTTAAGTATTAATAAAATAAGTCACAGACTTAAAAAACTGTCAACGACCAAACAACATTTCAAAAATAACAACGTTTTAACTTACGACAATTCGACCCCGAAGGCCTTTTAAATTCAGCAAGTTCTTCAAAAGAATCTAATTCTACTCTCTCTCTAAATTTTCTGATTGCACTATCATTTATAGGCTTCGTAGAGCCGTCAGAGGTATTTAAAACTAAACATTTACTAACCAATCGCTCTTAAGATCCGTTTTACAAAACTACTTTGCACCATTTAAGAAAACAAAAATCACTCAAAGTTCAGACACAATTACCCTA